TTTTTTTAAGTGTAGAATTCTGCTGGAGTGGTTTTGCTTCAATATTTTTATTAAATGTTTTTAATTAAATATATATGTATTTTGTTTATATTCACCTAAATATGTTTATTTTATGAAACTGTTTTTGTTAAATTTTTATGAAATTTTTGTTATGGTTTTTTCTATTGGGACTTTCAGTCGCACCACCCTCCAGTTTTAAGTACCGAGGATGGCCGGAAATTATTAGATTCGAGTTTAGGCTGAAGAGTCAGCCTGGCAGGATTTAATTTATTTATTTAGAGAATTTTTTTATATTTGAGAAAATTGACTTTGTACAATAGAGAGTATTTTTTTTTTGAAATTTTGAATGTATTTTGATGTATTTTGAGTTGAATAAATTGAGAATTTCAGCTCCACTCTTGTTTCGATTGGAACACTTCCAAGTTGTTTGTGGTTCCAATGATGCCACATGGCTCCGGCATTTGAAATGTTGGGCCTAACACATGTTGTTGGGGGCCAAAGTGGGACTTACGTGGCCTCTGTTGCATCTCACGACTAAGATTATTTTGACACAGTATTTTGTTTGAAATACTCCGTCTTACAATTGGTTAGTGAAATAAATTACTATTTTAGGCCTCTAACTTAATAGGTTTTATTATTTATTTACCCAAAAAAAAAAAAAAAAAAAAAAAAAAAAAAAAAAAAACTGCAAGTTTTTCAAAGAATCCAAATTAATTAGTTTCTAGTTCATGAACTTATTTGCAGCAGCAGTTTACTTGAGGGAATGCGAGAGCCTTTGGGAGCCAAGCTGCCACTCATTTGAAGCAATATCATTTGAAGCAATAGCCACGATATTTAATATCTCAAACAATTTCCTGGAAGGATTCTGTTATGGCTAGTCAAATTGGAGCTGATTAGTGGTAATCTGGAGTGGAGTTAGTGAAGGGCTAACTTAGGCTATAGCCCAAGTTTAGAAAAAATAAAATAAAAATAAGAAAATAAAATAAATTAATATTATTGTACACTAATTCACAGTTCGATTTATATGTAATATTACTATTTCTTTAGTTCAATCCACTTTGTAATATTTGACTCGGCAAGATAGCAGACAGAGAAATGGTAGGAGTACACAATGCTTTGAGTTTGGATGTTAATTTTTAACAGTGTTTGTTATATACGCTCTAAGTTGGGCTGTTTTCGTCAGCTCCTTCTCCTTGTGAGTGGGCTGTTATTCCCGGCAGCATTTTAAAATGAATTAAAAAAAGAAGAAGATAAATACAATAATCTTTTTTGTGTTACTTGACATCTGACAGAACAAAACAAAATATCTAAGCATTTTAATCTACTTAATTGAATAAGTCCATACCATGGACATGTTTTACTAATTAAATGTGATAGGTCTCAATCAATTGACCCAATGCATCCCCTTACATCTAAGTAAATCAAAGCGGAATATAAAATAAAATCAAATACAAAATAATCAAAATCTTTTTACTAAAAATTTGAAGTAAAAAAAAAAACATTAAGGGTAAAGTACACTAATACCGTTCAGATTTGACAAAAAGATATTCAAGTAAAAATTATCTGTTTTTTAAATAATGACATCCCCTTGAAAAAATTTCATCCAAACAAGGCTTTAAATTATATAAAAAGACAAAATTATCCCTTAATATAAAATTCAAATTTATTATAAAATATCATTACATGTCAAAATGACACTATTGTCCCTCAAAATTTAGCGCCACAGGTCTAACAGCCATGCTTTGCTTGCTTATATTTATTAGTGCCTAGTTGTTGACCCAATAAATTTATGTATCAGACATTTAATTCCAGAGAACCTAATATTAATCAATTGGAAATCAGGACACTAATGTGATTATATTTACAAATATTCTTTTTTGCAAGTGAGAAATTATGCAGTGTTAAGTATAGCAGCAGCTACACCGTCCACCCAATCCAGGGACCATCAGCAATTGATTGGCTATTTGGGATTAAGGTAACATGTTTTTCTGTTTTTGGAACACTTGATGGGACAAGTATTTTTGTAATGCCACATATGACATAGATAACACTGTTGGGTTATTTGGTTTTTTGTTTTTGGGACATTTGTTGGGACAAGTATTTTTGTAATGCCACATATGACACAGACATAACAGTTGGGTTATTTTTTGTTAGTTGGTTGACACTTGGTTGTTGGATGGTTGGTTGACACTTGGAATGTTGGTTATGTAATAATAGATTATGTAAATTTTAGTGTCAAATGTTGGTTTTATTAATCTGTTTCAGGGATATATATTTGGTTTTCTGTTTTTGAGACACTTGTTGGGACAAGTATTTTCGTAATGTCACATATGACACAGACATAACAGTTGGTTATTTTTTATTAGTTGGTTGATACTTGGTTGTTGGATGGTTGGTTGACTTGTTGGTTATGTAATGATAGATTATGTAACTTTTGGTGTCAAATGTTGGTTTTATTAATTTGTTTCATGGATGTATCTACATATATATATATATATATATATATATATATATATATATATTTCATCTGTTTTATAAAGATAAATTTGTTCAATTTATTAACTTGTAAAATTAAAAAGGTCAACTAAATAGTGGACAATTTGGTTAATTTTTTATGCCAGTTGGCTTCAAGGAGTGTTTTTGTTCACTTTTCAATCTTTAAGGGGTATCATTTTGTTTAAAAAATAGGTAACTTTCATCTAAGTATTTTTTTGACAAATCTCACGAGGTGCAGTATACTTTACCAAAACATATTAAAAAAATAATAATAAAAAAAATAATTAGGGGCCTTCGTACAATTGGGGCTTTCACTAAAACTATAATTATTAATAATTTAAAATAGACTTTTTGTCTTTATTTCAGATTTTGTGAAACTTGTGAATTTTGTGATCCTTGTTTAAAGTTCTATATCTGTGAGAGAGAATCACATCTCAGCCTGATCACACAATACCAACTCATTTTATCTCCCCAGACCATGATGACAATATTGCTTCTTTTTCTTCCAACACTCAGTCTGCTCTGCTTTCTTCATCAAAAATACAGAAACAAGTACGGAGCAAATCATCTTCCCCCGGGTCCTCCGGGACTTCCAATCATCGGTAACCTACACGAGCTTGCTAACTCAGCTCCACATCACTACCTATGGCAACTCTCCAAAAAATATGGCCCTCTCATGACCCTCCAACTCGGTTTCGTTCCAACCCTTGTGGTTTCTTCAGCAAAGATGGCTAAAGAGGTCCTGAAAACCCATGATCTCGAATTTGCTAGTAGGCCATCTTTACTTGGCCAGAGAAAGCTATCTTACAATGGCTTAGATGTGGCTTTTACACCTTACAGTGAGTATTGGAGAGAAATGAGGAAGATTTGTGTCCTTCATCTCTTGAACCCCAAGAGGGTTGAGTCCTTCCGTTACATTAGAGAAGATGAGGTTTCGCGAATGATCAAAAAGATCTCCAACTTTGCTTCTGCTTCTAAACTCATCAACTTAAGTGAGATGCTAATGTCTCTCACTAGTGCCATGATTTGTAGAATTGCTTTTGGTAAGAGGTATGACGATGAAGGTTGCGAAAGGAGTAAGTTTCATGGCCTCCTTCATGAAGCTCAGGCCATGCTAGGAAGCTTCTTCCTCTCGGATTATTTTCCTTTTCTTGGTTGGGTAGATAAACTCAATGGCATGTCAAGCAGGGCCGATAAAATTTTCAAGGAAATGGATTTGTTCTACCAAGAAATCATCGATGAGCGCATGCAAGAAGAGAGCAGTAAGTCCGAGCAGGAGGATATTCTTGATGTCTTACTTCAGCTGCAGAAGGTTCACTCGTTTACAATTGATCTCACTTTAGATCATATTAAAGCAGTGCTCATGGTAATTTTTTTTTTTTTTTTTTCCTTGGTTTACACACTCCCAAAACCTAATTTAAGTTTTATCAAATTAGTGGTTAACAACTCAAAAACCCCAAAAGTCTTTGCTATAGAAAATAGTCTTTATACTTTCTAGAGTTTTAAAAAACTGTTTTTTTTATGACTGAATCCTCGACTTTCCACTTTGGAAAGTATAGAAGCAACACTAGGTTACAACTTTTTTAACGTATTTCTCATACTATTTTTATTTTATTTTTGTTTTCAGAACATATTTATGGCTGGAACAGACACTAGTGCTGCCACTTTGGTTTGGGCGATGACAGGGCTAATGAAACATCCTAGAACTATGAAGAGAGTGCAAGAAGAAATTAGACATGCAAGTGTAGAGAGAGGTATGGTTAAAGAAGATGATCTTCATAAACTTCCTTATCTCAAGGCAGTGGTGAAGGAGACACTGAGATTGCACCCTCCATCTCCATTGCTGCTTCCACACGAAACAACGAAAAAATGCAACATAAATGGGTATGAGATTCCACCCAAAACTTGTGTCTACGTGAATGCGTGGGCCGTTGGAAGAGATCCTGAATCTTGGGAACATCCAGAAGAATTCTTGCCTGAGAGATTCATGGATAGTTGTATTGACTACAAGGGACAAGATTTCGAATTCATTCCATTTGGGGCGGGTCGAAGAGGTTGCCCCGGGATTTATCTCGGAGCTCTGACTGTGGAGCTTGCACTTGCTAATCTGCTCAATTCTTTTGATTGGGAACTACCTCCTGGTATGAAGAAGGAAGACATCGACATGGATGTTTTACCTGGAATCACTATGCATAAGAAAAATGCACTTTGCCTTCTGGCTAAGAAATATCATGGGCATGTATATCAATAAATGATATATGCAAATTAACAATAGGTGCACACGTGTTGCAGTACGCGTCCTGTACCACAGAGGATCCAGATTCGTAGTGCAGTTAGTTTAGTTATATATATCTTATGTTACAGAATGAGAGATTGAAACATTCTGAAATAGTATTCACATGGTTGAATTTAAGTAGTTGTGAAAAATTATGAAATATTGTGTTTGGATAAGTTATGTAAGAGGAATTTTGTTTGACTTGAATTTTCACTATTGTTATTCTCTTCAAAATTCAATACTGTGAACTCCAAAGATAGAGTTGTTGCACACCTTTGAACCATGGTTTTACCATTTGAATTTTTTGTTTTTTGCTTTCAGAATATATTTATGGCTGGAATAGACACAAGTGCTGGCACCTTGGTTTGGGCAATGACGGAGCTAATGAAACATCTTAGAGCTATGAAGAGAGCACAAGAAGAAATTAGAAATGCAAGTGGTGAGAAAGGTATGGTTAAAGAAGATGATCTTCATAAACTTCCTTATCTCAAGGCAGTGGTGAAGGAAACACTGAGATTGCACCCCCCAGCTCCGTTGATGCTTCCACACGAAACAACCAAAAAATGCAACATAAATGGGTATGAGATTCGACCCAAGACTTTAGTCTACGTGAACGCATGGGCCATTGGAAGAGATCCCGAATCTTGGGAAAACCCAGAAGAATTCTTGCCTGAGAGATTCATGGGTAGTGCCGTTGACTATAAAGGGCAAGATTTCGAATTGATTCCATTTGGGGCAGGTCGAAGAGGTTGCCCCGGGATGTATCTCAAAGTTGTGACTGTGGAGCTTGCACTTGCTAATCTTCTCTACTCTTTTGAGTGGGAACTACCTACTGGTATGAAGAAGGAAGACATTGACACAGATGTTTTACCTGGTATTACTATGCATAAGAAAAATGCACTTTGTCGTTTGGCTAAGAAAATTGATGGGCATATATATGAATGAATGATGCATAGTAATCAAGAACTATAATTAATAGTCTATGTACTGCATATAAAAACACTCTTTACTCTTTTTCCCACTATCTTTCCCAAACACAATGAAGGTCTGTACTACTATGACTTCTCTAGTTAAATTTTGAATTCCTTGTGCTTCTGTATTTCCAAGGAACTTAATGCAGTGATGGAAACACACCAAACAACTCTCAGACTTAGTAAAGAAGAGCAATGTGCAATCATGTTTAATGATCCCAAAAGTTAGTATCTTTTTTTTTTTTTTTTTTTTTCCTAGTTGGTACTCACTCGTCCTCTCCCCTCAAGGAATTGTTTGGATCTAGCAAGAGATCCTGAAAGTTAATATCATGAAAACAATAATATTTATTTTAAAAAAAATGTAGTAAAATAAGTACTGCTCCAACTTTTTCATCAGTTAATAAATTACATCCAATTTGTACAACACTAGTATTTCAAGACTGTTAATTTCCTACAATTACTTAATTTTGAATAGGCAAACAGGAGGAAAAAAAAAAGGTATTCAAGTTCAAAGTTTGATGACCTGAACCCAGGTTGGTAGGCATCCCCCAACAGACTGCCAAATGAAAAGATTAATGCCATTATCTCCAAGTTCCTAATGAACATATTCTTTTACTGTAATACCCCTAATTTTAAAAGGATAGTCTCGGTATTTATTTATTTATTTTTATTATATTTTTTTTAATTGTTTAATTGATTATTTGACTAATTGTTTATGTGTTTAATTGAATTAAGTGTTACTTGATTAATTGGCTACTTATCTATGTGTTATTTGTATTTTGTCTAGGTGTTATTTGTATTATTTGTTTAATTAGATTGTGTGCTTAAATAATGTATTTAATTAATGTTAATTAATTGTAAATTAAATGTTTTCATTTCTTTTATTATTTTATTTTATTTTTCTTTTATGGTTATGGTTAGTGGTAATTGGCCAACCAATTGGATCCCATGGACTGCTTGGATAGGAGGTTGGATGGGTATGGATAATTATCCATGGATAGTTGTATATGTATATATATAGATATATATGTATATACATATATATAAAAAGGAAAGTAATTTATTAATATTATAGTAACTTTAGTATTAATAAATAATCTGATGTATATATTTTATATATTTATATAATAAGGATATACATATATTTTATACGTAATATGTTTTAAGTTACCTTTTTAATATTATGGTAACTTTAGTATAAATAAATAATCTGATGTATATATTTTATTTATTTAATGAGAATACAGATAGATTATATACTTAACATGTTTTAAGTTATCTTTTAATATTATGGTAACTTTAGTATTACTAAATAATCTAATGTATATATTTTATTTAATTAATAAGGATATACATAGATTATATACGTAACATATTTTAAATTACCTTTTTAATATTTTCATTTTTATTTTTTTTTATTAAGTTGACTTGGATTGGGAAAAGGAATAGGGTTATTATTTAGCCTATAAATACACAACTATAGGTTGAAAAAGGAGTGAAAATATATCACGTAATATATTCTAGAGAGAGAGTTAGAGAGAGAAGGAGAAAGAGGGAGGAAGGAGGAGAAAACCCTTTAGAGAGAAGATCAAGGAATAAGAAGTTTAACTTTCAATCCGAAAATTTAAGGCAAGTTCTTCTTCTATCTCTTTCCCTTTGATTCGTGTTTCTGTACATGCCTAGGAAATTCCAGGATTTACTAAACACATAAAATTAAATAATTATGCATGTTTAATTGGATTAAAGTATAGGTTTTTGTGAAATTGGGTCATATCTGTTCTTGTGTTATAAATTAAAAAATGCATGATTTTGATTTGATTTCTGGTGTGAATTTTTATATGTTTGAATTATGTATTTTTCATATATGTGGAATGATGGAACGTAGAAACATGCCTAGGATTCCTGAACATTAAATAGGGACTAGGTTTGGGTTTAAATAAATTTAAATACACTCAATCATAACGATGCTTGCTATTTAAATGTTTACACAAACGAATGGATTTAATCTTTTAAAATGCTTTAGCAATTGAGAATAAATGTGTAGGATGAATTGGATATGGAGAATACTTATTTGACGATATAATAAAATATCATCATGTATAAGATTCAGTTTGTGTAGGACATATGATATATGAGCTTAAATAAATAATAAGTCATTCATATTCTGTGATAACTTGATATCATATTATCATAGTTATTTCTGGAATGTTTGATGTATTTCTTTAATTATTACATCAATTGTTGGATTGTGTGGTTTAATGCACCGGTATGGGACGGTGGCATTCTAGGGACGGATTAACTTATCAGTTAAGTCCTACCTATTTTATATAAGGGAATGGATTAACTAAAATGTTAAGTCCTACTTATATTCAAGTCAGGTCAGCTGAACAAGTTGAATGACTTATAGAGGATTAATTTATTATATAAGGGAATGGATTAACTAAAATATTAAGTCCTACTTATATTCAAGTCAGGTCAGCTGAACAAGTTGAATGACTTATGGAGGATTAATTTATACTGGATAGGATGGTCACTAGATTTTATATATATAAGTATGGTGCCATGATATGAGCTTGAGTCTCAGGATCAGTGGTTAGGGTGCGTATATCGCCAGGGATGTGTAGCTAGATATAGTGTAGTTGCGTACCCTGGTAGGTCTAGGTACTCATGCCCACTATATGTGCGTTTTGCATGTTGCCTACTATTCAGGTTGAGACAACCCTATAATCTAGTGAGGTTCCTTTAGTGTGTGTATATATATATATGGACTACTAGTTACTGTTGGATTGACTAGGATGTATACGTGTATCGGATCTCTGCTTGGACTGTAGTAGAGTAGAACTTGTTTGTGGGCCTGACCCACTATTATTTTTCAGGTGTTCGTCACGAGTAGAGGTTGTTCGTGCTGAGCGGGGATCAATCTACTTCATTCTTCCGATGCTACATAGGAGTTCCTTTATGATTCAGTTTCCTGTTTTAGAATACTGTCATTTGTTTAGTTTGGATTTTCTAGGGGTCCACACAGTATGGATTCCCGAGTTGTATTTTGGAAGATCAGTTGTATCAGAAGAGTTTATTAATTAATGGAAATATAGTATGAGGTTTATTATTAGATTATCATTTTAGTTTCTTGTCAGCATTTTATTTATTCTTCTTTATTCTTTTGTACTCTGTGTTCGTTTATTATCAATTTGTTTTGATATCCTCGGGTATTCGGGCGTAGGCCTGGCCAACCCACATTCGGAAATTTGGGGGTATCACATTTACAAAGCCCTCCCATTATTAGGATTTACATATTCTCTTTTATATTCAAACTATCCAACCAAGATGATATTTTGTTCACTTTACAATATATATCAGTCACCTTTCAAGACAAACCCACAACAATCTGTTCCGAAAATTTGACATCCTCAGTGTTCAAAACATATAAGCATGAGTTTCACACTTTCTAGTATATTGATTTCCCTTTGATACCATAAAGTTCTCTTCCCACTTGCAGTTACAACTACGAATTCACCAGTAGTAATTGCAATTTTAGCATTTTCGACAAACCACCAAGAGCACACCCCACAAGCAGGAAAAGAGGTTACGCAAACAACTCTACCATAATATCATTATAAAATAAGGAAAATTTAAACTAAATTGTAACATAAATAAAGTGAAATTTCTGCATGAAAAAATAAATTTAGTACCTCGTCAACTAGTGGTTCTAACCTCAGGCTCTCCTCTGTTATTTGCCTGGAGGAATTGACTTCTTTTCCCTGTTGTCCACAAAAATCTGCAAATGGAGTTCTCAACTCCTGAAAAGAATAGCCCTCCAATTTTAATAACTTTGAAAACAGAAGTGAGATTGAAATTATACATTCCAATCCACACTCAACATGAAAACCCCTCCACATAGCAAAATCCCAAAAACATCAAATAATAAGCTAAGGAAATCATTTAAAAGTAGAACACATGCAGGCATAAAAGTAGGAAAAATAGTTTGCCTGTTTTCGGTGATATATGAAAAGATAGACTCCTCTCCATCAGCTGCCCACCTTTGCATTGTGTTAACCAAACAGAGACTTAAATACAAGAGAAAAAATCAGCATTGATATCACTTAGAATTTGAAGAAAATATATGATATTACTTAGAATTTGAAGAACCGTACATCTTATTCGAGTATACTACTTTGCACGAGTCCTTTTTTTTAAATAAATGTCCTACAAATACCAGTATAAATTAATTGAAAAGAAACCTATTTTATGTAGTCTTGAACCTTACAAAATACGTGTGAACCTGACATTCCAAGGGCAGCACAATGCAAGGTACATGTCATATATGTTAGTATGTTAAGCTTTTCGGGGGGCTAATATCAACTAAGAAAAAAAAAAAAAAAAAAAAAAAAAACCTGTCTTGACCTTCGAACTTCTATCCAAACATCTAATTTGATATTCATCCCTACTTTAGGCTCATGCAGACAAATGACACTAACGCCATAATTTTTTTATTTTTTTTATTTTACTTCCTTTAGTTCTGAAAACAGAATGCATTTTTAAGAAGTGCATTCAAATGGACCCTAGAATACAAGTCTGCCAAAATCACTCAATTAGGCTTCAACCAGCTACATGAAACAACTGAACCAAAAAATTGTACAAATAATCGAAAACCAAAGCTAATCACAGTTGATTTAAGACATTAATACTATAATGTGGTCTGGTACTTTCAAAATACTATTTCACATTGAAGATTAAAAATAATAATATTTATAGAGATAAGCAACTTACTTTGGGACAAATAAAGTGATTGTACTGTGCAGGTGTACAAGAATCGTAGTTAATCCCAAGAAGCTCAATGTTTTGCTTCAAAACCCTCAATTTAGCCAAATTAACCGTCTCCTCCTCTGCATGATTTTTCCACTTTAACTATGATTAAAGTTCAAAAAATAAATAAATAAGTAAAACCAAGAAAAAAATTCAAGAAAATTGCAAGGAAGTAATGTTTCAAGGGTAAGGCGGAGAGAGACCTGATGACTGAGAAACCCTGGCATGAAAGAAAGAGGGAGACCCAGAACTGTAGAGTGAAAATGGGTGGAATTTGGAGATGGGTTTTGGAGGTGAAGCCGAGAGAATGGGTCCGAAATTGGTGGACTCGTGCAACATTTGATACGAATATAGCTGTTGTGGTTCTTGTTGTTGCTGTGAAATAATTGCAATTACAGAGTGGAGATGCTAAAGAGCGCAGCTTGTGAATTGGGCGAAACAAACAACGGGGAAGAGTGGGATACAATAGCCCATAGAGACACCATAAACAGGCTCATCCATGTCACATCGAAGTGAACGAATGGTCCTATGTTCGACCCAGCCCATATAATCATCCTTTGGGTTCGGACTTTG